CTTGTTAATGACAATTTCGTAATTGCGTGCTCGGCCTGTTCGAGCAGGCGTTTCCTTTTTTATTATTGTCCTACCGTCCACTGTTGTATTTCTGGCACGGGGCCATCTTGTTTTGACTTGGATAGTTGTAACACCATTCAGAACATTATTGTTAACATTTATTTCTAATAAAACGCATTTTGATCAACCAGAGTTTATTCTAAAATAAATTTCATTGTGTCCACGACGAGACATAAATTGGCGACCGTGACAGGACCGCATCAAAATATACGGTTTGGAATTATATATCTACCGAAATTCATCATTGGAAGAAGCAAGTCGACGATTATATCCACCTGGTCATCAACAAGAACAATATAGTTGTCGTGTACGTGCTATCCCTATTGTTAATCAGTAGCAGACCTCGTGATATTCAAGAAGCAAAAGTACAAAAAACTCATAGTAAGAGACTACTATATATCGCTGAGCAGTGACGCATCAAAAGCATCACCTCGCAACATATTTATTCAGATAAGTGTCCTAAATATTCCTAACTAATAATTTCTTATATTTATAAAACCTAAAGTACATAATATATATTAAATTTCAGTATTGTTCTGCTTGTGCAAAAATCTACCTACGATAAAAATATTAGAATAAAAATATACTCCCTCTTACTAGAATCTGAGTCGTATTGTATGTATATTGTTTTTCATTTATTTTGAACTATTATAAATTATCATAATTCAATCAATCGTTATATTGATGAGAAAAGGGGAAGGTTTTTTCAAGTTAATGTACATACGCATTATATTAATGTCAACTCCTACCCACCCTTAAACAGATTAGTTTTTCATTTATTTTACTTTTATTTATATAAAATAACGAGTGTATATACTTGTATTATACACATTAAAAACATTATAGTTATGATAACGAAACGAACGTCATCACTTTACTCCAATTAAGACCCGTTGCCGACTATTTTCAGGTTGCTGCCTGTATCTATTGCTGTTCGACAGCTGATTATATTGCTATTGCTGTTATCATCACAGCCATCTGCCTGCACCTGGATATCGCCTGACGAGGAGCGTGAGCTTACCCATTTATTATATTTATAACTTTTTTCTAACATTTAACAAATTCAATTTGCAATCAGTGAAGGCTTCTTGTAATTCATTTGTAAGTTTCCTATCTTCACGATAAGTCCTTTACGGAGTTATCAGAAGTATTAGGATAGTAATAAGGTTAATATATTACGTAGTTTGTTATTTTATTATTATTTTTTTTACACACTGCTTTGGGTTTATTATATTACACATATATTAATAATAGAAAATTAACTAAAATAATAATCAATAGCATTTTCTGTTTTTATGTAAATTGCATGGAGTCTACCTACATGTAATTTATATAAATATATTTTTGTACAAACATATACATTGTAAAAACTTAATTTAACCCTTTGTCTCAGGTATATAATTGCGTAGAATATTAACTAAATTTATTTAACTAATTTTTAATAAACAAAATGACTGATCCACGAGCTTCATCTACAAGTATGTACAAAAATACTGATTATAAAGATCTAAGTATTAAACGCAGTTCTATTAAAGGACAAATTACTAAATTTAAGAATTATTTAGATAAGATTACAAGACAGCCTAAACTGACGAATATTGAAATAACCGAGTTATCATTAAAAATTACTAAATTTGAAAGCCTCTCAGCTAGATATGATGAATTGCAAACTCAAATAGAATTGGTAAATAATGAACATTTAGAATCTGAAATTGATGAGCGTGAACGCATTGAGCATGAGTTCATATCATGTTTAGCTACAGCAAAAAATGTTGTCGACGAGCAAAATCAAATAAAAAGTGTAGAACATGATAAGACACGACGCGAATCTCTTTTTCAAGAAGCTCAATGCAGTCTCGATCATAATGAGTGTCGTGTTAAATTACCTCAAATCAATATTGAAAGGTACAACGGATCGGTTTTTCGTTGGCTTGAGTTCAGAGACACATATACTAGCTTAATTCATAATAATGAGCACATCCCACCAATACAAAAATTTCACTACTTAATTTCATATCTAGAAGGTGATGCTGCTCGTGTTATTTCTAATATTGAAGTGTCATCGTCTAACTATAACAGTGCATGGCAATTACTTTATGATCGTTATAACAACAAGCGTCTACTCATAAATCACCATTTAAAATCTTTATTTAATGTCCAACAAGCCACTCGCGAAACTGAAGATTCTTTGCGCTATTTAGTTGACCACATAACCAAAAATCTACGTGCTCTCTCTAGCTTAGGTCAACCAACAGACCATTGGGATACCATTATTATTTTTATTATTACATCTAAGCTTGATAATCGTACACTTCTGAAGTGGGAAGAGCAACGTAATATTATAGATGAATTACCAAATTTAGAACAATTCAAGAAATTTTTAATTGATCGAGCATTTGTTCTCGAATCTATGCGTCGCAATAGATCTGACACTAATAATTTATTATCAGGTAATTCATCAACTTATAAGCATAATAATAATAAACACGCAATCAATACAAAGTCATTTGCTACTACTAGTCAAAATAAAGTATGGCTATGTATTATTTGTAATCAGAATCACAAAATTTATGACTGTCCAATTTTTAAGTCTAAATCCATTAAAGATAAGTTAATTGAAGTTTCTAAATATAAATTATGTCCTAATTGTTTACGGCAAGGTCACCCTGTTAATGAATGTCGCATGGGTCCCTGTAAGCAATGCAAAAAACCTCACAATACTTTATTGCATTCAATTGACAATACAAAAGTCAATAATGCGCAAATACGTGAAGAAAATTCAATGGTTAATTTCTCTAAAGAAGTTAATCGACAAGTTCTTTTATCGACTGCTCTAATTGAAGTTTTGAATCCAATAACCAAAGAGGCAACCAAAGTGCGTGCCTTATTGGATTCAGGCAGTCAATCATCATTTATTACAAAAAAACTACATAAAAAATTATCACTAAATTCAACTCCTATTTCCATGAATGTTATTGGCATTGGCCATAATGCTACCAATAATATAACTGAAAGTTCTATGGTACAAATACAATCTCTAAATAATAAAAGTAAATTTAAATTAAATTGCTTCGTTCTTGATAGACTTACAGGAAGTTTACCACAATTTTGTGTAAATTTAAATTTACCCAAACAGATTATGTTAGCGGACCCAACATTTGACCAACCAGGTCCTATCGATATGTTGATAGGTGCTGACCTCTTTTGGGACATTATACTATCTGAGCAGACTTCCTTAGGTCCAAACAAACCAAAACTTCGTAATTCTGTATTTGGCTGGCTGATCGGCGGTCCCATAAATACATGTAAAAATAATGATATTCATTGTAATAATATAATTGTCAATGCACCTTTATCTAAAGAATCGAATGTTGACGCCCTTCTTACTAAATTCTGGGAACTAGAAGAGCTTCCTCAAAAAACTATTTTAAATCCAATAGAATTAGCTTGCGAAAATCACTTTCGTACACATGCACATCGTCTTGAAACAGGTAGGTTTTCCGTAAGTTTGCCACTTCGAGACTCACCAAATTGCTTGGGTGATTCTTATACTCTTGCTAAAAAACGTTTCACTAATCTTGAGAAGCGTTTTCGAAAGAATCATACATTGAAAATGGAATATATTAAATTCATGACCGAGTATGAAAATTTGGGTCACCTTTCAGAATCTCCTATTAGATTGCCAAATCCATCATACTTTTTATGTCATCATGCGATTTTTAAAATAGAAAGTGAATCGACTAAAATAAGAGTTGTTTTTGATGGTTCCGCACCTTCGTCCTCTGGTTTCTCAGTTAACGATTTGCAGATGATTGGCCCAAATGTACAGGATTCTCTCTTCTCCATTTTAATTCGTGCCCGACAATATAAATATCTACTTACCGGGGATGTAGAAAAAATGTATCGACAGGTTGAAGTCAATCCGGATGACAGAAACCTGCAGTTGATATTATGGAGAGAAGACGAGTCTTTACCTATCAAAACAATGCAACTAAATACTGTCACTTACGGTACAGCAAGTGCCAGTTATTTAAGCACGCGATGCTTGTGGCAAGTTGGTGATGAGTGTACTGATGAATTAATAAAAACTATTATTCAAAAGGACTTTTATGTAGACGATCTAATTACGGGTTCAAATGACGAGATGGAATTACAATACATCAAAAATTCAGTGGCTACAGAATTGAATAAAGGATGTTTTAATTTACGTAAATACAAATCTAATTTACCCAATATTATTCAAAATTCTTCCAACATTGCTTCTCAGGGTAACCTGATTATTAGTGAATCCTCAAGTACTCTTGGTCTAGGGTGGAATTCTAATAGCGATACATTACATTTTCCTATAAATATACCAATTCCAAGCGAAACCATAACAAAAAGATTTATTATGTCTAATGCTTTTAAGATTTTCGATCCTTTGGGTCTGTTGAGTCCTTGTATAATGCAGCCAAAACTTATGCTTCAAAAGCTATGGCAGCTTAAAGTTGGTTGGGACGAACCCGTACCTGACAACATTGAGCAAGCGTGGCAGGATTTTGCCAATGGATTACCAGTTCTGTCCAATTTACAAATTCCTAGATTCGTTGCATGTGTTTCGCCAAAATTCATAGAAATTCACTCTTTCAGTGATGCGTCCCAAGTAGGTTACGGTGCATGTGTATACGTGAAAACTATAGATATCAACGGTGAAATTTTAGTTAAGTTACTTTGTTCAAAATCAAAAGTAGCTCCACTAAAACCTACTTCAATACCTCGCTTGGAGCTTTGTGCGGCACTTCTTGCTGCTCGACTATCCAAAGCAGTAATAGAGTCAATAAGGTATGTTCCTGACCGCATAATCCATTGGTGCGATTCCAGCATCGTATTGGGATGGTTAAAAGGAGATATATCTAAATTAAAAACATTTGTGGCTAATAGAATAGGTGAAATCTAAGAAAACACGCAGTCGTCTTCCTGGCGTTATGTTCCCACTGCAGAGAATCCTGCCGATTTAATTTCACGTGGTGTAAGTGCCGATCAGCTGTGTCATACAGACATGTGGTGGGAAGGGCCCAAATTTCTGCAAAAGAAAGAAGACGAATGGCCAGTTTTAAAACATGATAATTTTAATAATTTACCTGAGCTTAAAGTGGTTGCTACGTCCGTCATTGTAAACAAATCAATAATAGAAATGGAACGGTTTTCAAATCTTAATAGACTGCAAAGATCGGTCGCTTATGTCAATCGCTTTATATACAATATAAAAAACCCCAATATCAAAATATCAGGCCCATTAACTGTTGAAGAGTTGAACAAATCTTTTAACTTTTTATGCACTATATCCCAACAAGAAAGTTTTCCCATTGAACTTAAAGCGTTATCAAATGAAAAATTTTTGAATACGAAATCAAAAATATTATCATTGTCACCGTTTCTTGATAACGATAACTTAATACGAGTGGGTGGGCGTATAGACGCTTCAACCTATCCATATAATAAAAGACATCCAGTTTTATTAGATTCGTCTCATTATTTATGCAAATTGATATTTAGAGCAGAGCACATTCGCAACATGCACGCTGGCCCACAACTGCTTCTAGCCACAGTCAGACAAACTGTTTGGCCCATTAAGGGTAGGTTATTAGCACGAGCAACTGTACGTAAATGTGTACGTTGCCGACGAGTTTTAGGAAAGACGTTATTGCCAAAAATGGGTGATCTACCCTCACAAAGAATTACGCCAGATTTTCCTTTTACATCTGTTGGTATTGACATGGCTGGACCCTTTATTACATTAAATCGAAAGGGACGAGGAGCTAAATTATCTAAGTCTTATTTATGTTTATTTGTATGTCTACGGTACAAATGCGTTCATTTGGAGGCTGTAAGCGACCTCACTAAGGATGCTTTTATTATGACCTTACGTCGGTTTATATGTCGTCGCGGCAAGCCAGCGGAAATATTTTCCGATAACGGTCGTAATTTTGTTGGAGCCGCTAAAGAACTTAATGGTTTTCTAAAGACTAATAATGAAACATTATCTGAGTTTGCAGTTCAGGAAGGCATTAAATTTATTTTTACTCCTTCTTACGCTCCTCATTTTGGTGGTATTTGGGAAGCAGGAATCAAATCTTCCAAACACCTTATACGTCGTGTAATGGGCAATTCTCATTTAACCTTCGAGGAACTTTCGACTCTTTTTGCACAAGTGGAATCTATATTGAATAGTCGTCCATTGTGTCCCTTATCCTCTTCCCCAGACGACTTCCTATTCCTTTCCCCAGGGCACTTTCTGATTGGAAAACCGCTGAATGCTTTGCCATCCCCTTGTCTAGAAGACTATAAGGCAAGTTGCTTGCGTCGCCATGCACGTCTTGAGCAAATAAGACAGCATTTTTGGCGAAGATGGCAACAAGAATACATCTCTGAATTACAAGTACGGACCAAATGGAAACTTGATACAGCCAAAGTAAAGATTGGAGATTTGGTCTTGCTGCGTGAAGATACTCTTCCTCCGTTATGCTGGCGTACTGGTCGAGTAACAAAATTATATCCAGGACCTGATGGAATCTCTCGTGTCGCAGATGTAAATACAAAGACAGGATGTTACCGGCGACCTCTTGTTCGCCTCTGCCCTCTTCTTGCTGATGAAGACTATTAACGATGGAGACGGTTGAAGAGCGAGTCTTCAACGGGGGGAGTTTATGTTAATGACAATTTCGTAATTGCGTGCTCGGCCTGTTCGAGCAGGCGTTTCCTTTTTTATTATTGTCCTACCGTCCACTGTTGTATTTCTGGCACGGGGCCATCTTGTTTTGACTTGGATAGTTGTAACACCATTCAGAACATTATTGTTAACATTTATTTCTAATAAAACGCATTTTGATCAACCAGAGTTTATTCTAAAATAAATTTCATTGTGTCCACGACGAGACAGTACTTTTTGTTAAATTATGAGAGGGAAACTTTGTACAAAAGTCGTTTGCTTGGGTACTTCTGTCCTATTCTTGTTTCTACCGTGAAGCAGTTGTATTTGCATGGTTGTGTTTCAGTTTGAGGGGTGGGATATGGCGTGAATTTACAGGGTGAGTCCTCAGGAATGGCAACGCATGGGGGTATCATGGGCGAAACAGTATACTCTGTTATGTCCATGGTACTGCTTATGTCTATTGGCGACGGTTACCACTTTCCATCAGGTGGGCCGTCAGCTTGATTGCCATTCTAAGGTGTATAAAAAAAAATTCTACGGACACGTGTTCTAAGGGATAATATTTCCAATTGATTAGATTGGCGACACGAGTCGAGTGCGATCGACTGCATCCTAGCGAGTGGGCGACGCCGGGTTTTGAAAGGTCACACGGGGAGCGGTGGGGCTGGCAGCGTGGTGCATTAATTATAATATTTATTTTCTAAGAATTTTTAGGCAATTATACATTAATTAATAGATAGATAGATAAATAGATATATAAACAATTTTTTTATATTATTATTTTTTAATTTTTAGGAAATTCACATCTCCCCTCTTAAGAAGAGGAGATGGCAAACTAACCCCCGGCAGAAGCACAGTCGGCCGGGGTTCAGGGCCCCAGGGAGAGAAACCGGCGTACAATGCGGGCAGAATCTAAGAGCACCGCTTTCTACATTTTTCCCGGGAGTGCGCCGCTTCGGAATCCCAACCGTCTGTTGTTGTTCCAGACTGGTTGGGATAAAACCGTTCACCGACATAACGATTGGAATGATTTCAGTGCACGCCACCCCTCACATTTAGGTACGAGGTGACTGAAATGAGCCAGGTCGAGATATTTTCTCTTTTTCTCAGTTTCGGCTTTCACGAGGTTCTCACCGAGCGGGGCACCAGTGATAGATGACTGATGAGGATGAAAGCAGGTCAGTTAGTAAATCCTGACAAATTCAATTAAAATTAGCCTCGATGGTTTCCAGGGGGAACCACGTGGAGGTCGACCTGACATATTGCTAGTAATGGGGCTATTTGGGGGGGCTGGGATTGTTAGTAATTAGATCCAACAGGCTTATTACTAGCAATATACCCTAACTGGTCGACTTCCACGCGGTTCCCCCTAGAAACCATCGTGATTATTTTTTTATGAATTCATCACGATGGGTCATCTGACCTAGTTCATCTTCACCTATCACCCCTCACTGGTGCCCCGCCAGCGTATCCTGATAGCGCAGGCGGGGTTACCATTCCATTACCATCGATTGAAAAAAATGGGGCTATTTGACTCCATTACTAACAATCCCTTTGTGTATGTGAATGTGAAAAGGACTCCATTTTCCGCGCTTAGCCTCTCACTTGGGCCATATAACAATCCCTTTACAGCGAAACTTTTTTTTTAATGTATGAAAATGGAATGGTAAGCCCGCTTGCGTTATGGGTATACGCTGGCGGGGCACCAGTGAGAGGTGATAGATGAGGGTGAGGGCGGGTCAGTTAGCCCATCGTGAAGAATTCCATAAGAATTAACCACGATGGTTTCCAGGGGTAACTGCATGGAGGCGACCTGATAGGGTACATTGCTAGCAATGAAACTGTTAGATCCCATGTCAAGTGTTACAACACTATCAACACAATGACAACAGTTGACAATTCTCTGTGACTACCCCACTAGGGATTATAGCCGTGAGACCGCAGGACTATCCTTAATCTACGTCGCATTCATAATTTCATTTTACGAATTGTAAATGTTTTAATTCTTGACTCGCGGTCACATGAATCTAATAAATTACCTTACATTTCAATCCTGGCGAGTGTTTAGCAATATTTTCTTAAAAAAAAATTAACAAAATACCTTCATATGTAATAATATTTTTATTATTTAACTATGTCTTATATCATATACATACATAATTAGGCAAATACAACACATACTGTTAAGTACTGGCAACTCAAAATGTGAATATCTCTTTAAAATAAATAAACATTATTACGATTTACGTTCATCGCTGTCTGTGTTCGCGTTCGTATTTAAAAATATTACTAACTACTGTTAATGGATGGTACGTAACTACAGATTCACAATTATTTCACTCGGCGAACTTTTGCGCGCCATTTTGGAAGCGCGCCAAAATTACAATCGCTACGTCAGAAAACAGCTTTCTTCTCCTATGATCTTCAACTCTCGTCGTAATAATCGAGTGTGTACAGATACTTGTAATATTATATTATGCAATAAGTACCTATTAAAATACTTAAACACGTTAGATAAAACAAATCAATTTCATCACTCAGTTTACTGACCTGTTTGAAGAAATATTTGGGGCATCCGGTCCACGGTTTACCATCACCGATTTTTATTTGTTATCATTTTATAGCTTGGAGATTTAAAATGTGTGGATAAACAGAAAATAAAGAATAACCAATACCAGGTAGCTCTGATTCATTGTAGGAAAAATGTGCCTGAGCAAATGTTACGTTATAACTATTATGTAGCTTAGACAGATATGTTCAGAAGTGAAGGAGCTCTTCCTTAGTGCCTATGTACCAGAAGAAGACTATGCACAAAAGTCTTTTGCTTGGACATCTCTGTCCCAACCGCGAAGCAGTTGTGTATGCATGGCTGTGTTTCGGTTTGAAGGGTGGGATATGGCAGTGAATTTACAGGGTACAGAGCAATAACACCTGAGTCCTCAGGAATGGCAACGCATGGGCGAAATAGTACACTCTGTTATGTCCATGGTACTGCTCATGTCTATAGGACGGTTACCACTTTCCATCAGGTGGGCCATCAGCCTGTTTGCCATTCTAAGTTGCATAAAAAAATGTGCCGATATTTGAAAGTTTGATGGCAAATCCAGCAAAATAAGGAAGCGTTAGTTAATTTTAAACTTTCGCTTTGTATTTACATATTTTTTCTCAAACATGCTTGGAAACATGCAGTACCATGGACATAACAGAGTATACTGTTTCGCCCATGATACCCCCCATGCGTTGCCATTCCTAAGGTCTCAGGTGTTATTCCTCTGTACCCTATAAATACCTTTAGTTGCCTCTTATGGCAATCACGGGAAAGGAAGGGGTGGCCCATTCTATACTGGTATATATACTTTGCAAAAACTGAGCACACGATTGAAAATAACCAGATAAATCTAAATGAGTTAGCAGGGGGGAAAGGGATTGTTAGTAATGGAGACTGAGAATCTCATTGCTAGCAATATACCCAACCAGGTCGACCTCCTCGCGGTTCTCCCTGGAAACTATCATAGTTAATTCCTGATTAATTCATCATGATGGACTAACTGGCCTGTTTTCATTCTCATCGATCACCCTTCACTGGTGCTCCGCCAGCGTATCCCGATAGCGCAGGCGGGGTTACCATACCATTTTCACCCATCAAAAAAAAAAAATGAGTTAGCAACTGTCTAATTGTTTTGCAAGTTCCTCTCGTTAGGTAATAATGATTGTGAGCGCGCAGTAACTAGGATCGATAAATACCATGATCACTTTAACAGTGCTTGTAAACAAGACTAGATAAAGTGTTTTTTTTTACTTTGTATACAAAACGTAAGTACGTAACCGAACGGCGGGTACTTCCGCGGTGCAATAAATTTATTCAATTACCATTGAAGCAATTTAGATATCCGACTGTTATGTACATATTGCCCACTTTAGATAAGGGAAGAGCGGCTGTTTATTACCATTAGAGCGATATGTACTCTGTTGCTTCCCTGCTACTAAAATCAGCATGGTAATATATGTATACGTATATTATATACATTAGAGAGTTAACAGCTATACCAAACCGCTTGACCCATGGGTGGGGGAAGGAATTATTAGTAATGGAGTCTAACTGACCCATGGGTGGGGGAAGGAATTGTTAGTAATGGAGTCTAACTGACCCATTGCTAGCAATATATCAAAATATTTTTTTTTATTTAAAAACTAAATTATCAATCGATTTAATTTTTTTTTTACAACAGAATGGCAAACAAGACGGCCCACCTGATGGAAAGTAGTAACCGTCGCCTGTAGACATGAGCAGTACTAAACATAACAGAGTATACTGTTTCGCCCATGATACACCCCATTCGTTGCCATTCCTAAGGACTCAGGTGTTATTCCTCTGTACCCTGTAAATTCACGCCATATCCCACCCTTCAGACCGAAACAGCCATGCAAACACAACTGCTTTACGTTTTAAACACGGATAGGACAGAGGTACCCAAGCAAACGACTTTTGTACAAAGCCTCCTTCTGGTTTGTTTCTGTAAATTTCTGTGGGATCAATCTGTAAGTATATCCTTTCAGATAAAAAAAGTGTTTTACAAATTAGTTTACAATTGACAAAGATATGAGGGTAACAAACATAAAATAAGCGAATTGTGGAACTACTTTTTTTTAAAGTCGGTTAATAAAAATCTGCAAATACCACGGCGCCGAAAATCAACACTAACCCACGCTTGTTTGGCACGGCACAATAAAACATTCATTAATACGTGACATCTCAAATAAAATAACAACTCTCCACTCACGTACAATTCCATTGAAATATTTTAATAAGCAATTCCCTAGAGAGGATTGCTAAGTGAAATTTGTATAAAGTGGTATTTCAGTTGAGAGAATAGCGGAAAAGAAATAGTCAAAACATAAACTTAGTTGAGGTTATCCACGTTTAAGCTTTATCCACGTGCATATAAGTACATAACGTATCCTTTGTTAAGTTAGGATTTGTTATATATATATATATATATATATATATATATATATATATATATATATATATAAATTAGTATAGTTTCGTTGAAATCCGTCGAGTAGTTTTTGTTTTTATAACGAACATACAGGCAAACAGATAAAAATTTTACTGATATTTAGTTATTTTGGAAATATATTTCATGTACAGAATTGACCTCTCTACAGATTTATTATAAGTATAGATAATATACGCTTTTCCGACTGT